ACATTGAAATTTTAACGTTTGTTAACTTGGGTGTACAGGTGCATGCCTAGAAACTCATCGAGAACTGGTGAAATATTTGAAGCATTATCAGATCCCAAGAGAGTTTTCAAGGCCTTGAATCGGGCCAACCGAAAAAACAAGCAACTGAACAATTCGAACCAAACATGGGGGATCACGAAATAGACCCAGCAATACCAATCGCGCCAGAGGTTGCTCTCTATCTGGGCACAACCCACAGCTGAAAATCTAGCCACAGCGATTGTAGTCCCGCAGATACAGGCTGAATCGTATCAAATCACGAATAACATGCTGCACTTGTTGCAAAACAAGGGACTATTTTCGGGGTCACAAATCGAAGATCCTCAACAACACTTGAAAATTTTTCTGTCAATCTGCAAAACCCAAAGGTAGCCTAACGTAACTCCAGAAGCAATCAAGCTGTTATTGTTTCCATTCTCCGTGACATGAGCTGCCCAGACCTGGTTAAACTCACTCCCATAAATTCCACAACAACTTGGGAGGAGTTAGTCAATCAATTCCATAACAAGTTCCACCCACCCAACAAAACTGCTCAACAAATTGATGAAATTTTGAGTTTTAAACAGAGACCAATGGAGACACTGCATGAAACATGGGAACATTTCAAAGGGATGCTGGTCATATGTCCGCATCATGGTATTCCAAATCTGATGTTAGGGTAGCGGTTTTACATGGAATTGTCAAATAGCATGAAGAACATTGTTGATGCTTCAGTTGGTGGAGCATTTTTGAGCAAAACATGGAGAGAAGGCCAGAGTCTACTCGATAAGATGGCGCAGAATTCGGGATGGACAACCAGGAATGCACCTATCACTCCAGTGGTTCACTCAGTGCCCTTAGATCTATCCAACTCTATGGCTGAAAATATGGCCATCTTATTGACACAGATGAGTATACTCACTAAAAAGGTGGAAGAGTCAGGGCAGAATCAGCAGGTACACATCGTAGATACTACCAATGGGGGCTTGTGCACATCTTGCATTAGTCAGCCAATTGGTAACCAATGGAATGCAGAACATGATCATCATCACTACCCAGAAGACATAAACTATGTGTCTAATTATGGAGGCCAGAGACAGGGTGGTCAGAATTGGGGCCAGCAAAATCAGCCGTACAAAACAATCCAGTCTCAGTTCAACAATGGGAACATGGGAAGTATGAGACCTCCTAATAATATGGCACCTTACCCAAGGCCATAGGGATATAACAATCAGAATCAGCAGCAAGGGGTATCACCCTCCTCAGCAGCAGTATGGTGGACGGTACGAAGATGGGTTTGCTAAACTTGAGGCAATGATGCAGCAGGTTATTGGGTCTAATGCAAAAATTAGTGAGAGAGTAGATGCACACGATTCAGCTATCAAGAATATTGAAGTGCAGATGGGCCAAATTTCAATGTCTCTGAACAATCGTTCTCATGGGACATTACCTGCTGATACCCAGATAAATCCAAAAGATCAAGCTCGAAGCAGCTGATGGCAGTGAGTCTACGTAATGGTAGAGATTTGGATGTAGAGCAAGAGAGGGCTCGAGAAACCAGACAGGTTGAGACACTCATACTAGTGCCCATTAAGTTGGATGAGTCAACGAAACTGATAGAGGTGACAGGCCTGCCTGCCCAGGAAGAAAATAACATTCAGACTGAGACTGAGACTAAGAAAGAAGCTGAGACAGCCCATGAACCAGTCGTTGAGGTGGCAACTGACAAAGATCAATCCCAAATCATTGGGAAGAAGAGACATCCTGCACTATTCCCTCAGAGGTTGGCGAAGTACCAAAAAGAGGAGCAATACAAGAAATTCTTGGAGATGCTGAAACAAATCCAGGTAAATATTCCATTGATTGATGCTTTGAAAGAGATGCCTGGGTATGCAAAAATGATGAAGGACTTGATGTCCCTAAAATTTGATTTTCAAGACTTGGCCACATTTACTCTTACTCAGACCTGTAGTGCAGTGGTGACTAGACTAATTGCGGAAAAGCTGTCTGACCCAGGGAGCTTTACAATTCCATGCACTATTGGTAATTTTGCTTTTGCTAAGGCACTATGTGACCTAGTGTCCAGCATAAATCTTATGCCCCTGGTGATTTATAAGAGGCTGGGGGTTGGAAGAGCTAGACCCACCTCTATGTTGTTGCAGCTGGCTAACAGGACTGTAAAAAGACCCTCTGGTATCCTGGACGATGTGTTGATTCAGGTAGGGAAATTTGTGTTCCCTGCAGATTTTATGATCTTAGACTGCAAAGTGGATGAGGATATTCCCATAATTTTGGGAAGGCCGTTATTGGCCACTGAGAGAGCTCTCATAGATTGTGAGACTGGGGAGATAAAGATGAGATTGAACAACAAAGAGATAATATTCAATGTGCAGAAATCTATGAGGTGACCAAGTGAATTCGCCAATTGCTCTCTTATTTATGCCGTGGATGTAATCGTAGAGACTAATGATGAGATGCTAACTATAAAGGACCCTCTTGCTGCATATCTGATGAATGTAGATGAGGTAAATAGATAAGAATTGGTAGAATGGGTGTTGGCATTAGAGGGCAGAGGGTTCTGGGATAGAACTCTTGAATTTGAGCCTTTGTACTTAGAAAATAGAGAAACTACTCTAGACAAGCCATCCATCGAAGAACCCCCAAAGCTGGAATTGAAGCCACTGCCCACCCATCTCAGGTATGAGTTCCTTGGACCTGACTCCACATTACCTGTTATTATCTCATCTAGTTTGTTAGATGTGCAGGCACAACAACTCTTGCGGGTACTCAAGGAGTGTAACACTGCCATTGGGTGGAAATGGCAGACATAAAGGGGATCAGCCCCGCCTACTATATGCATAAGATTCTACTGGAAGAGGGGCACAAACCTTCGAGGGAACACCAAAGAAGGCTGAACCCCAACATGAAGGAAGTGGTGAAGAAAGAAGTGATAAAATGGCTAGATGCGGGAATCATTTTCCCAATCTTTGACAGCCGCTGGATTATAGAAAGTTAAATATAGCCACCTGGAAAGACCACTTCCCTTCATTGATCAGATGTTAGATAGATTGGAAGGGAGGTCACACTTTTGTTTTTTGGATGGGTACTCAGGGTACAATAAGATCTCTATTGCACCAGAGGACATAGAGAAGACCTCCTTTACTAGCCCGTATGGCATTTATGCCTTTCGGAGGATGCCATTTGGCCTATGCAATGCACCCGCCACATTCCAAAGGTATATGATGGTCATATTCACTGACATGGTGGATGACATAATGGAGGTATTCATGGATGATTTCTCAGTGGTGGGGAACTCATTTGATAAGTGCCTTATAAATCTGACTCGTGTGCTGAAACGGTGTATCGAGACTAACCTGGTTTTTAATTAGGAGAAGTGTCATTTCATGGTACAAAAGGGTATAGTCTTGGGGCACCGGGTGTCAAGCAAAGGAATTGAGGTGGATCGTGCTAAAGTGGATGTGATAGCAAAGCTCCCCATTCCAACTTTAGTCAAGGCAATTAGGAACTTCCTCGGGCATGCCGGTTTCTACCAGAGATTTATAAGAGACTTCTCAAAAATTGCCAATCCTCTCTGTAAGTTGTTAGAAAAAGATCACCCTTTCTTGTTTTCTGATGATTGCAGGGTAGCATTCGAGGAGCTGAAAAAGAGGCTAGTCACAGCACCCATCATTGTTGCCCCCGACTGGGAGGAACCATTCGAACTCATGTGTGATACCAGTGACTACGCAGTGGGGGCAGCGCTGGGATAGTGGAAAGACAAGCTAATGTATCCAATCTACTATGCTAGTAGAACGCTGAGTGGAGCCCAACTGAACTACACGGTGACTAAGAAGGAGATGTTGGTTGTGGTGTTTGCTTTCGACAAGTTCAGATCATCCCTGATTGGCTCTAAGGTAATTGTATACACTGATCATGCAGCTCTCAGGTACTTTATTAAGAAGAAGGAGTCTAAGCCACGCCTGATTTGTTAGGTACTGCTACTGCAAGAATTCAACCTTGAAATTCGCGACCGTAAGGGCACAAAAAACCAAGTCGCTGACCATCTATCGTGACTTGAGGGAGCTGAAAACTCAGTCGAGGTTGAAGATATTCTGGAAACCTTTCCAGACGAGTAGCTGCTTGCTACTAGCCTCGGGGAAGTGCCATGGTATGCAGACTATGCAAATTATCTGGCTAGTGGTATAGCTCCCCATGACCTTTCATTTGTACAAAAGAAAAAGTTTTATCGTGATTGTCGCATGTATTATTGGGATGAACTTTATCTGTTTAGAATATGTGTTGACAATATGATCCAGAGATGTGTCCCCAAGATAGAACAATCTTCTGTTTTGCAGGCTTATAACGCATCGACGTATGGAGGACATTTTGGAGGGGTCAGGACAGCTGCAAAAGTGCTAGAGGCTAGATTCTTTTGGCCAACAGTGTTTAAAGATGCACACCAATGAGTGAAGGGATGCAATGAATGTCAGCGAACCGAGAACATTTTTCGTCGCCATGAGATGCCCATGAACCCGATTCAAGAGGTGGAAGTGTTCGATGCTTGGGGGATTGACTTCATAGGACCCTTCGTCAGCTCCTTTGTCAATAAGTACATACTTGTTGCTATGGATTACGTGTCCAAATGGGTAGAAGCTGCAACGTTGCCCACTAATGATGCAAGAGTGGTGGTGGGGTTTTTTAAGAAGAACATATTCACCCATTTTGGGACCCCGAGAGCGATTATCAGTGACGGAGGCACCCACTTCTGTAATAGAGCCTTCGAGAAGTTGCTAGCAAAGTATGATGTACGCCACAAAGTGGCTACCCCTTATCACCCGCAGACCAGTGGATAGGTGGAAGTGTCTAATAGAGAGATAAAGAGTGTACTGACCAAAACTCTAAACGCCACAAGAACTGATTGGGCAAAAAGGCTAGATGATGCACTTTGGGCTTATAGAACTGCTTTTAAAACACCAATTAGTATGTCCCCATATAAGTTGGTATTTGGGAAGGCCTGTCACTTGCTAGTAGAACTTGAACATAAGGCTTTGTGGGCACTGAAACAGCTGAACCTAGACATTGAGGCTGCGGGCACAACGAGAATCACTGAATTGCATGAGTTTGACGAGTTCCGACATCTTGCTTTTGAAAGCACAAGGTTGTACAAGAAAATAATGAAGAAGTTGCATAACCAGAACATTGTTGAGCGAGATTTCAAACCCGGAGACATGGTATTGCTCTATAACTCAAGATTACAGTTGTTCCCTAGTAAGCTTAAGTCACGATGGTCTGGTCCATTTCGAGTGGTTAAAGTATTTCCTTCAGGGGCTGTAGAGATTGCCTCAAAGAAAGACTCTCATAGGTTTAGAGTCAATGGGCAGAGGTTGAAGCTATACATAGGCATTAAAGAACCAAAGGAAGTGTCAGAGATCCACTTGACGGAACCTCAGAGGTCGAGCGAGCCTTAAATGTGCTTGTCTGCATCGTGCCGCGATGTTAAATCAGGCGCTACATGGGAGGCAACCCATTGAATTGTTGTAATCATCGTGCCAAGACATTAACTAAGGAACTGGTTGGGAGGCAACCCAACAATAGAAGTAATTGTTAATTATGAGTTTTTAGGACGTACTAACCAATGCAAGTGACAATGGGCGGGTGATAAGGCCATTGAAAGTGGTAAGAACAGGTGCAAAACATGGAAAAAATTTCGCCCAGGAGCGCGGCCGCGCATATGGGCAAACATTCTGCCTGGGCTTAAAAAAAATATTAGCGCGCCTGCACTCGTGAACACGCTACTGGCCGCACTACTAGCGCGATCGCGCTAGTGGACGCGCATATTGCGTTGTGTTCTGCCTGGGCTAGCGCGGACGTGCTCGTACCGCGCTACGACCGCGCTAGTTCCGCCCAAAATCTGACGAGTTTTGTGATATATTTTCTGAATAATTTTTTTATGTTAATTTTTCCTTTTTTTCCCTTAGTCTAAATTAACCCCCTCATCTAATAACCCTCCCCCCTCTTTATTTCCAACCCAACGCCCAGCTTCTTCAAAATAACCCAACACCATAAATCAGAAAACACATAAACCTCCCCCTTCTCCTTCAACTCCCAGCTTTTTCAAAATTCCTACCCCTATTTTCCCCAAGTCTCAAGCACACTCCCCTCTCTTCTTCTTTGCTTCTCCTAACAATCTCCCACTACAAGTATGCCTTCTAGGTACCATTTTGTTCTTTTTTTTTCCTTTTCTTTGATTTTCGTTTTATTTTTTTATTTTTATTTTTGTTGTTCTTGCCTTTGTTTAGTTAAATTTTGTAGTAGATGTTGTTGTAACTATGGATGGAATGGTTAGTAGAGTTAGAGCGTGAATTAGTTGTGCTTGTGGGTACATTATGGTGGTTTTGGGGTGGTCAAATGCTTTGAATGGGTTGTGAGTGCCGAATGCCCACAAGGTGTTTGTAGAAAGGCCTCAATGAACGTAATTATGTAGTGGTGACCACTTATGTGTGTGAAGTCTGAGTAACCACATTGTGTCACAATTTTGTGTTGGGTTGTGCTAATGTGCTCCCGTTTTTCAGGTACTATGGCTCCATCTTGGAAATGCCGCGCCACAGGTGCCTCTTCTAGTATCCAAGCTGGCTCGTCCAGGACGCGCGGGGAAACCTCTGCCAGCCCCTTTGATAGCAACAAATTTGTCTCTGCCAAGGCTCAGGACTGCTTTGCGAATAAGGCCTCTAAAAAGTCGATTCCGGAGAGGGGTATTAACATAGGATCGGTCCAGCTACATTGCCCTCACATGTACACAAAGCTAGTGAGGCGGGGGTTGCAAACTTTCATTAACGATCCGGGCAAGGGCGATGTAATGGTTGTTAGAGAGTTTTATGCCAATGTGAAGGAGCATGACAGTGGCGTAGTCACAATGCGCCGAAAGGCGGTGAATGCCTCTATTGAGGCGATACGGACGGCATACCAGCTGCCCCCTCCTGTGGATCATTATGATGACTATTATGAGGGGTATGGCCAAGGACACACACAGTGGGAGAGGTTCTTTGAAACGATCTGTGTACCGGGGAAGGAGGTGGTTTGGATGAAATATGGTGAGTAGTTTCACTCCTCGGCACTAACCTTTGAAGGGAATTGCTGACTGTATCTTATCAACAACCATCTTATTCCATCCTCCAACACTATGAAGGTAAATGGGCCCCGAGCAGCTTTGATTTGGTGCTTCATCAATGGTCACAACTTCGATGTGGCTAGATTGATGCACGAGGAAATGTTCATCCGCTGTCCAGTCAAAAGGTATGGGTTCTTTTTACCTTTTTTGGTTACTAAGCTTTGCATGGAAGCTCGGGTGCCCGAAAATCTAGCTGTGGATGGGCTAGTACCAAAAGATCGCAAGTTTCGGGCTGACAAGGTAACCACAGGTAAAGAGCCGACAGTAGCAGGTGAGGAGGATATTAGTGGATTTGATGACTCGGAGGAAGATGCGGCGGAGCAGGAGGACGTGGGGGTAGAACCACAGACCCATTAGCACAGTGCAGTAGCTACAACACCATCAGGGACTGCAATATCTTCTGGAGCTACCCGGTTGTCCCGTTTCACCGCTTTGGAGCAGGAGGTGGCTGGGTTGCATACCTCAGTCACTGATTTAGGTGCCCGCATAGACGCGGTGGCTAACCGGTAGGTGAAGTCGGAGAAGAAATTCTTAGGCTGGCTGAGAGCTCTGGGTAGTGCGTGCAATGTGAACCCATACACCGTCTCCGATCAGGAGTGATATTTCAGGGAAGTTCCTTTACTTCACTGTTCTTTAAATTTTTATGACATGAGGACATGCATACATTTTAAGTGTGGGGTGAGGGATACTTCAATGTAAGTATGTAATTGTACAAATTGACTGTTTGATGTTTCTTTGGTTTACTTTGATTGTTTTTGGTGTTTTGAGTAATAGTTTCATTAGGTAAGTTTAAAGTAGGTAAGTGACTTGTCCCGACGACAGATCTCTTTCGGCGAGGTTCTTGAGGGACTAAGTCGGAAAAAAAGGAAATATGGAGACTCTCCTAATGACGGATCCTTTAGACAATTTTCTTGAGGGAAGCAAGTCTAGAGAAAAGACAAAAAAAAAAAAGATTTTTTAGGTAGTGTAGTAACTCCCCCTTGGTTTTTCTTTGGGCCACGATTCTTTTCCAAGGGTTTAGCTTGAACCGGGTGTAGGTAATTTTTGTTAGTTTGTTTTTTTAGTTTTTTGTTAGGATTAATGGGCTACGAGCTAAAATCAAAATACAAACCCTTGGCGTTGCTACACCTGAACACAATAGACACTAGAATGTAACGCTTAGTCTTAGTGGTTGATTCTTGCTAAAGTGTCTTAAACTGTATGTTTGTCACTGACTTGAATACTCAGAAGAGAGTGTCTTGATAAACCAATCTGGAATGAGTCATATGCCATGCGTGTGTGAGTTTTACTGTATTCCATGATTCACATTTGATGCCTAGAACTTGCCCCGTGTGTTTACAAAGCGAAATAGTAGTTTTATTCAGTCTTAGAAGTGATATAGGCATTTCTTTGTTGAGCCAAACAAATAAAGTAAACCCACCTAACTGTAATACATCTTAGTTAACCCCGTTGAGCCTATAAGCCTGTTTTTTTGGCAACCACAATGCGAACCTTACCCAATTGTTGAATAGCCTTCTATTTGAACCCTTTTACCTCTCATAAGCACTTGAATAGGGTTGAAATTATGCAAAAGCAAAATTGTGGGGTGGTGGTTTGGTTTTTGAGTGGAACCGTTGAAATAGAGAGAAGGTGAAGTGTTTGGAAAAGGAAAAGAATGAGCGCCACTTAGGAAAAAAAAAGAAAGAGTAAATGTAGTAATCGATAAGTGGTGGTTTTTTACAATTGCACCTAATGGATGGGGTTGTTGTAAATAAAAAGTGGTGGAGTGTTTGGTTGACATAAGTATGGTTTTGAATGTTCATGTAATTGTATTAAAAGTACTTAGGGAGATTAGTCACTATATCCAAATATATCCTACCCGTCCCTTAGCCTACATTACAACCAAGTGAAGTCCTATTGATCTTAGACTGAGTGGGCTCGATTAGTAGAGTAGTACACTACGGGCAAGCCTATGGTGCATCTTTGTGGCATGTGAATGTTCTTTTTGAGAGTGAGTGAATTTTTTCTGTCTAAGTTCCTAATTGTTCTATATATCATTATATGTGGAACTACTCTCTGATGTGATGTGAGGGCATGTGATTCATGAAGGAAAGGCAAGTCTTGACTTCTGTGTAGAATAATTTGAGTAAGTATGAATAATGCACAACACGTGAGAGTCGATTTTTGAGGCGAAGGTTGTTCACTACTAGGCGTAACTTATGTGATTTGTTCTTGGTATGATGCGTTAGGGAATAATGCTTAGTGAAGGAACCCTTATAGAGTGTGGTGGATTGCTCGAGGATTATCAATGATTTAAGTGTGGGGTGTTGATAATAGGCTAGATTTATGTAATTTGGCGATTGCTTATGCCCCAGCTTGATTATATTTTACTGCTATAATATAGTTAAATGATGTTAAATTGGATCTAATTGTGAATGTCACACGTTGCAGGAGTGCATAGCATGTATGAGGACTTAAAACTATGGTTGGAGCTAAATTGAAGCAAGAAAAGCCCCTTGGAGCTGAGTACGTGGGAAGACGAGAGAAAGAATTGATGAAATGAAGACCTGGACTAGCGCGTCCAGTAGTGTGACCGCGCTAGCCCAGATGGTCGAGGTGGAATGATAGGGCATATGTGCGGTCATTAGCGCGAACGCGCTAGCCCAGTTCCGGAAAAGTAAATTTCAGGGGTAAAATTGGACGTTTGGGGGCAAATCCACTTAACCTATAGAAGGTCTAGCTCGCCCAAGAGATCATTATCAAGGTTTTCATAGCTTAGTTCAAGAAAAGGAGAGGCAAGAGGCAAGGAGGATAATTCAACATCGAGTTCTTCCTTTCCTCCTTTTGTTTTTATGATTTGTGATGAATTTGAATATTGTTATGATGAACCATAGTATGAGTAGCTAAATATTTAGTCTAAGGTTTTGATGGAACCTGTTGAAGGATAAACTTTTTGTTATGTTAATATAGTTTGCCTGATTTAATCTCTATTTGTTCAACTATGTGTTTGTTGTAGTTAATTGACAAGATCCTCAATTAGCTGTGCTTATTTAGTGTGCATAACTCGGGAGAGAGTGCATATTTAGGTAATTGTTGAACAACACCACTCCCAAAGTATATGAGAGATCAATAACTGCGGATTTAAACGCGGGATTAGGGATAACGAAGACTTGTGTGCAATCTAAAGTGAGTTGTAATAAACAAAGCCAGCTAACGTATCTCAGGAGAGTGCGTCTAGTAAATTATCGTGATTACTCGGGAGAGATTTACGGTAATAGGAGTGCTCATGATTGATAGAGATGATTTGGTGATTCTATGTGAAGCATAACCGGAAGGGATTCCATCAATAGGGGAAATCATAACCTTAGAACCTTCTCTTAATTATTTACAACTCAATCATAGTTAGTTTTCAGTTGCTTAGTTACATTCATTTGTAGTTAGTAGAAATACCCTCAATTGTTATTTACAACGTTTGGAAAGTTGATTCTGTGGAATTTAGTAAGTTTAATGAGAAATAATTGATAGGTTAATTCCTTGTGGGTTCGACTCTAGGCTAAATACTTAGATTATATTTGCAACGTCCGCGTGTCCTTTTTATAAGGCATAGTTGGACGTAATCAGCTATGATGACCAAATAGTATAGCAGAGGATATTTTTAAACCCCTTTTAATAGTATAGGAATATATTTGACCCTTCATTATTTTTTTTGGATAAACAAAAGGGAAAAGGCCAAAATTATCCCTATACTATCGAAAATTAGTCACGTTTATACCCGTTTCTACTTTCGGTCCAAATATAGGCCTGCCGTTAAGAAAGTAGACAATATCGTCCCTAACGCTAACGGCTTCCCATGACTCAACAACTAAAATGACACGGTGGACTCCATGGCACTATTTATTTTTCATATGTAATACTCAGTAAATAACTAAACCCATTAAAATTAGTCTTCTTCTTATCTAACAATATACCACCATTGTTGCAAATTCAAGGTTCTTGTTCTATTCCTCAAAATTATTTCATAAATTTTCATCATTACCGATCAGTGTTCGAACCACCACTCCAGCCGTCTTCCACCAAGAAAATACCCCACCTTCTCTCCACCTAGAAAATCATCAGCAATCACTTATTGGGAATACCCACCAAAAAGCTTCACTAGAAACCATCTCTTTAAACACTACCAGTCACTCATCAAAAAATCACCTCTCTTTTCTTCCATCTCTCGCTTCTCTTTACTGGTCATAACTACCCAGTAACACTCCTTTTCCACAAAAAGAAGAAGAGCTAGATCCAGAAGAAAGAAATCCTCCATAAAAACCTATTTACGGGTGACCTCCTGTTTCTCTTTAAAATTCCACCCAATGAAAAAATCTTTTTTTGCTAAAAAATTTCTTTACGGCTTGAACATATCAGAACCAGTCTTGACGGAACAATCTTTTTCGCAAACAAAGAAGAATCAATAGGGTGAGAATCATTTCGGAAATTTTTGATCTGTTTTGGACTGAATAAAACAAAGAATCTGACATTGAAATGCTGAAACTATTCAAAGCTGCAACTTGTTATTTAAATTAGAATTGGTTAAATCTTGCGCCTTGAATCTGGAAAGTTAGAGAAGGAGAAGACTAATTTTAGTAGGTTTAGTTATTTATTATTACAGATGGAAAATAAATAGTGACATGGAGTCCACCGTGTCATTTTAGTTGCTGAGTCATGGGCAACCGTTAGGGTTAGGGACGATTTTGTCTACTTTCTTAACGGCAGGCCTATATTTGGACCGAAAGTAGAAACGAGTATAAACGTAATTAGTTTTTGATAGTATAGGAACAATTTTAGTCTTTTCCCCTAAACAAAAAGTGAAAGTGTGTTATATAGAGTAAAACAAAAATAGTAGTAATTTATTTAACTCTATTTTACAACTTCACGCAAAAGAAAAATAAGAAGGGGAGAAGAGAACTGACACGAGAAAATGGATTAAATAGTACAAAGGAGCAAGGCATATTCTATTTTCAGTCGTCACCAACAAAGAGTAGAAACAGAGAAATCTCTGCGCTCGTCGGGCAGCTATTAAGATCCAATCGTATCTTCGCTCCTCCAAAAATTCAGTCTCTTCACTTCTCTACTGTCAGTAAAGGTTAGAATCGTCTTTTTTGCCGCCTTCTCTCCTTTTATCTAACCCCAATTTTATTTATCTTTAGTCTTTGTTTCTATCTGTATTGCAAAACCCTAATTCGAACACACACACACACATTGATATTTTGCTGTATCATTTTTTACTCTGAAGATTCCGTAATTTGCCTTAAAGTATAAATTATTTAGTGTTCGAATGAAATAGAGTTCCTGAATAGAGTGGGATGTATACAAAAGATTCATACAGTTGACCCCGACTGATTAGGAATTGAGGTGTAGTTAGTTTTTGTATATTTTCACTATATTGATTGTGTTTCTAATGTCTGATTGGCCCGTTTCATATTTGATTCTAGTTGATGCTGTATATAGAATTTTTCAATTGTTTGAAACTATCGTTGTGTTTAGTGTGCTCTGGAAAAATGGATAACTGATATATGCATTGTGCTCGAGTTTATTTGGTTTTTTGAAGTATTTCAATTCCTCCAATTCCTCCTGAGCAAAGGACATGTTTTATGGTAACTTTCTTTTTTTCAAAATAAATTTCCAGAGCGAGGGGCGGGGTTATGTATTGCCCCGGGGGGGGGGGGGGGGGGGGAGAGGTCTATGGTGAAAATTGAGTGCTGCCCCTGAGTTTTGGTAGTGTGGAGATTGTGGTTCTACGGTACTAAGTGGGGATTCAAATGATTTGTATCTGAGACTGCACATTGCTTCATTTTCTTGACTTCCGTTTTCAGCAATCATCACATGGAGGGTGAATGTGTTCTAGTTGAATTCAGCAATCATCTCTTGTTGTATGGTCAATTCGATCAACTACGCCCGTTCTGCTTGGACGTAGTTGGCTTCTACATCCATTCTGCTTTATCTAGGTCCAATTTCTTTCCAACACAAATAAAGTGGAAATTTGGTCTTTTTGGAGGGGTTCGTAACTTGCAAACAGTTGAATGTGCTGACTGTCATTTTCTGTAAAATGAGTGCCCATGACAGTGAGCAGTATATGCTTTCAGCTATTTCTTAACTTCCCATATTTAAGTTCCTTTTTTTTTTCATAGCAGTAACAGAATTAAGACTCCTATCTCCTTTGTTTCGTCCTTTGGCAGTGAGTCCACTATGCTTGAGAATGTATTTCTAGTTGTTTGTAAGATGATGCTTTGCCCTCGTTGATCTTATCCCATTGTTATATGCATTTCAAGGATTGTCAAGTTGAATTTTTATGGAGGGTGTTGGAGATGGTGGTGCATCAGCAGCTGCAGCATTGAACCAACGGAGGCTTGAACTTTCAAAACTTTTCCAGTACTACTTAGATAAAACCACTCCTCATGCACTCTATAGGTGGATTGGAACTGTTGGCCTAGCATTGCTTTATGCTCTTCGGGTTTATTATGTTCAAGGATTCTACGTTGTTACATATGGTTTGGGCATCTACATACTCAATCTGCTGATTGGTTTCCTATCACCTCTTGTTGATCCTGAGCTGGAACCTTCTGATGGGGCTATGTTGCCAACTAAAGGTTCAGATGAGTTCAAGCCTTTTATTCGTCGTCTTCCGGAGTTCAAATTCTGGTAATAGTTCTTGGTGTACATATGTGCTTTTTAAATGGAGAAAAAGTTGTCATATTTTTTCTGTATTCTTCTTTTGAATTGATAGCTTGGAGTATTCTTCTAATCAGAATTTGCTCAGTTTGCTTTATCTGCTGTTTCGATTGGTCTTCCTTTTCCTGATAAATTAAGAGTAATGAATAGCCGTGTTAGAAATTTCTGGCATGTGTGTTTTAACATTAGAAACTTTTGAGTTGGTATGTCTTGTGTAAAGGTAACAGATTTCATTGTTTATTTTCATTTCCATTGGAATTTAGCATGGCCATATATTCAAGTGTTCTTTACTGTTATAGTGTTACCTGGTACAAGTGAACATTAAATTGTATCGGTTAGGAAGCATTACGGTTCTTGGTATTTGATTCAATCCTATTATTCATCTTTCTTGGTATTAATACAAGAAGAAATCTTAATAAGAAATTAAATTACCTTGAGAAAATCAAGAGTTCAATCAAGAACAAAGGAAAATGATTTTTCCTTTCTTAATAATGTCAAAGTAATCATCAAAATTTGTGAAAAACAAGTCTAAGAGCTATATTTATAGTAGGGCTAATATCGGGCAAAAACAAAAAGACCATGAAATAAAACTTCCAAATTGACGTCGAGCTACCACGTGAGCCTACATGGTGCCGCACGAGCTGCAGGTCTTCCACCACGTCACTGCACGAACTCGATTAGTCTGTGGTCCTTGCTCTTTTTTTCATCCCTCTGAGGCTTTGTTATTCGGATGTAGCTCAATCAACTTCTCTTGAAGCGCTTTAGCATGTGACCTTGTCAAAGCCTTATAGGACATTGAGATAACTACCTAGCAACTTCTCCACTCACTTGAGGGCTTCCTAGGATACAATTGAGAGGGGTTACATAAAGGGATTGAAGGTAGACAACGTAGAAGAATATGTATGACCATATCATTGTGACAACTTTAATTTTGTTTGGTCTGTAGAATTAGATAACCTTGAGTGTAGTGGGAGCTTAATGCATTCAATTGCCATTTTAACATGTTTTGGTAGTGTAAAAGAAGCCACTATTATGTAATAGCAAGGATAACTGGTTAAATGATTGTGGTTGAGCCATACAACAATTTCGTATATACTTTTGACACTGTTTTGGTGTGCTATTAATAGGAGTGCTTTGGCTTATTATAAAAAGGTAGTGCTTTGGCTTATTATAAAAAGGTACTTAGTAATATCTGCACTAAGAAGATCCTTGACACAGTTGAACCAGAGATCCATCTGCCTTTTGTGTACAAGTACCTTAAAGAAAAAGATTTCCATTTCTTCTGCGAAAGTGGATGGACTATGAGCTTTGCTTTTGTGTCCCATAAGATTTGGGCTTTTTAGGAAGCCGAAGGAAATTGGTTTTAGAATCCCCTTTTTAGATGGTGAATGTATTATGGACTTATTAGGGGAACATGTATCAAGCTCATGATGCCTTGGACTCTTCTATTTCCTTTTTATACCTTATGCTATAATCTTTTGCTGTTACTCTTCTTCTTTGTGGTGCTGCTTCACAAAGTTTTCAGTCACCTTTCCAGAATCAACAATTTGGGTTGTTGTTTCTTCTATAATTTACTCAAAGCTCCACCTTGTTAGAATAACAAGTTGGGTTGTTGTTTCTTCTATAGTTTTCTGATATCATCACGTATCTCTTTCTTTTCTTTTTCAACATCAGCTGCAATTGTCAGTCAACTATAGACTACATGAACACTAAGCTGACGGGAAATTATGGGCCACCCTTGGAAAGGAAAAATGTTTGCTAAAGCTTTCACCATTTATTTTCGTTTGTGCATGCAATTCCTGTTAAACATTATGGTGTTGCATAATGTGGATTTACACCTTTTAGTGGGATGATGCTTTGCACGTGAACAACTGGAATCGAAAGGAGGAGAATTATTTCTTAAGTTCCACGGAATCCTTTTTGTCCTTTCCTGATATTTTGTGTTAGGGGTGGGGAATGATGAGCTTGGCAAGAGGAAGATCAAATTTCTAACCTCCAGATTACTATATATTTATTGGTTGTCTCCTTTCATAGGATAAACATATAGGAATATAGTTTTTCTTTCAATATTTAAATGTTATAGAGCTCACTCAGGCTTTTCGCTTTTAGGAATTCTATTTTTTAACAAGATGGAGTAGCATTTTGGTGCTTTTGCCACTTGATGGGACTGTTCTGCATTTTACATTCTGTAGTGGAGATAGCATGGGTTCTGATGCATCTATTTCAGGCTGTTTACTACTACTTTTTTTTAACTTTGGGCGTTGCTACAATGTCTACTCTCTTTTTCTGTTTTCTTCAGGTATGCCATAACAAAGGCTTTCTGTGTGGCATTTGTCATGACTTTCTTCTCCATATTTGATGTTCCTGTATTCTGGCCTATACTGTTGTGCTATTGGGTTGTCCTTTTCATCCTTACAATGAGGCGGCAAATTACGCACATGATCAGATACAAATACATCCCATTCAACCTTGGAAAGCAGGTGAACTCAATAGCAAATGAGTTCTTTTTGTATATTTTTCCAAATAGTGTTCTTGCTGTCAATGTTACTAGTCTCACTTGGTGAGAGTATATAAAGACTCCTTTTTGTTATTGTAACAGAAGTACTCAGGGAAAAGGCCATCAGGAAGTGGCAGCAGCACAAGGGATTGAACTGATTGTGTTTTAGACCAAATGGAGGAGGAAAGAGGAGATAGTCGAAAGTGCAAAGAAAAGAAAAAATATATGGAATTGCTACATATTTTTTAGTTAAATGGGATTTGTACTTGCATAAACTCTAACCTGAATACGGAGTCTGAAAATTTAGTTCCTTAGTGACCTTCCATTATTAAATTTCCAGCTTTGTGTTCATCTTTGCTGACAACAACAACAACAACAACAAGATGTTCTGTTTATATACCAGTGATCATCTTTGCTGAAATTTTATAAGTTTGGGACGTATAAAACGAATGTTCTGCTCTGGTTGCAAATTGCAACAGAAGACAGGAAAAAAAATGGCAAAGGATCTCTTTTGCATTAGTTTAATTATCCCCACAGATAAAACTGTGTATAAAAACACAGGCATGAAGAAACTAGGCAATCAGCCCGTAAAGCAGTTATATTTTGCAATCATATATTGTCTTCCTGGTTCTCAATAGTCAATTTGTCTAGTATCGTAGTTATTATTTTTTTCTTCTTCCCTAAATTAAGTCACCTCCTCTAATTTAATATTATTACAAGCACCTTTTAATTGAAAAATAGAACAAAATCAGCATGTACTAATACAAATGAAAGTAGATATAATCACAAATTTGTGTTGCCTGACCTAGAAACGCCATAAAATGAACCCGAAAGTCATAGCGGAGCGATGAGTATTGGTCACTAGGCCGTTTCCTATGGACCTACAATAATTCAGGCCAATCAAAGTCCGTCAATAAACACAAAATGTGGATATAATTATAATGTATGATCCCAAACCACAAAAGATGAACCTGAAAGTAATGGCGAAGTGATGTGTATGGTCACTTGACCATTTCCTATGGACCTACGGAATTTCATATCAATCAGAGTCCGTCAAAAAGATTCTACAAAATCTACATGTACTGATGGACATCAAAAAGTGGATATAATCACAAATTCGTATTGCGTGATCCCGAATCTCCATGAAATGAACCCAAAACGCCAACAAGCAACGTTAGTCATGGAAAACTATGAGTATTGGTCACTAGGTCATTTTTTATGGACCTACAAAATTTCAGGCAAATGGGAGTCCGTCAAAAAAATTCTATAAAATCAACATGTACATATACACGAAAAAGTGAATATAATTTTAAATTTATGTTGCTTGACCCTGAAACGCCATAAATTAAACACGAAAGTCATGGCGACGCAATGCGTATTGGCCACTAAACCGTTTCTTGTGGACCTATAAAATTTTAGGCCAATCGGAGCTTGTTAGAAAAATTCTACAAAGTCCACATGTACTAATATATACGAAAAAGTAAATATACTCATAAATTCGTGTTGTATGACTCCGAAATACCATAAAATAAACCTGAAAGTCATATCAAAACGATACGTATTGGTCACTAGGCCGTTTTCTATGGACCTACAGAATTTTAGGCCAATGGTTTGTCAAAAAATTTCTACAAAGTCAACATGTGCTAATGCACACAAACCTTGAAATGCCTTAGAATGAACTCGAAGGTCATGGCGAAGCGATGAGTATTGATCACTAGGTCATTTCCTATGCACATATGGAATTTCAGGCCAATCAGAGTCAATTGAAAAAAATCTACAATGTCAGCATATACTAGTACACATGAAAAAATGAATATAATCACAAATTCATATTGCATGACCCAGAAACACCATAAAACGAACCCGAAAGTCATGGAGAGTCAAAGGGTTTTGGTCACTAGGGAGTTTCCTATGGACGTATAAAATTTCAGGCTAATCAGAATTCGTCAAAAAAATTCTACTAAATCAGCATGTACTAATACACACGAAAAAGTGAATATAATCATAAATTCGTATTGCATGATCTCGAAATTCCATTAAATATACCTAAAATGCCAAAAAGCGACATTTAGTCATCATGAAGCAATGAGTATTGGTCAGTAGGTTGTTTCCTATGGACCTATACAATTTGAGGCCAATCGGAGTCCGTCGAAAAAATTCTACACAATCAACATGTACTAATTAACACACACGAGTGGGTATAATTATAAATTCGTGACGCCGAATACCAAGAAATAAAATCGAAAGTCATGGCAAAGCGATAAATATTAGTCAATAGGTTGTTCCCAGTGGACCTATAAAATTTTAGGTCAATCGGAGTTTGTCAATTTTTTTATTTACAAAATCAACATGTGCTAATATACACGAAAAAGTGGATATTATCATAAATTCGTGTGGTATAAACCCAAAACGCCATAAAATGAACCTGAAGTCATAGGGCAATGATAAGTATTGGTACTAGATCGTTTCTTATGGACGGACAAAATTTCAGGCCAATTAGAGTCTGTCAACAAAATTCTAGAAAATATGTGTCTAACACACACGAAAAAAAAAGATATAATCATTAATTCGTGTTGCATGAACCCAGACTCTAATAAATGAATCTGCAAGTACTAGTGAAGCAATGCATATTAGTCACTAGGCCGTTTCCTATGGACCTACAAAAATTCAGGCCAATTGGAGTCCGTTAATTTTTACTTTTTACAAAATAAGCATGTACTAATGGACACGAAAAAGTAGATATAATTAAAAATTTGTGTTGCATGATTGATCACGGCCTACTCCGCACTACTAATTATGTAGCGAGAGAGAGTCGGAGCAGCTTTTACTCGATTTTGGGTCGGTATCGATTTCCACAAAGAGCTAGAATTTGGAATCGAGTATCTATCTAGTTTAGGATTGTGTATGTGTTCCAAATTACACTTCTAATTATTTTTGGGGTTTTCTTTTTTACTTCTACTATTATCAAACTACAAATGGTAAATGCAACTAGATTAAGCTAAGAGTTAATGCTACGGGTTGTTTAAATGGTTTAAAAGGCACTAGGGTAGTGACTTCCGCCTAGATGGTCAATTGACGGGTACTTGAATCTAAGGAACAATTGACATAGTTGGGGAGTATTATATAACCGTTGCACGAGATAACCCACTCTACACCTCTCGATGGTTCGAGTGATTTTGCCGAATTGACTTTCTCAAGACCAATTGTGTATGCAAATTTGCACAAGCAACTAGGGTTCAAGTCGGGTATTACTCTCTCGAGGTTTAACCCTTTAATTGGGGCTATCAATCTCTTGAGTACGCCCCAATTCCTTGTTGGACCAATTTCAGAGACTTAGACTCTCTTTCTCAAGAAGAGCCCAAGTCAACTAAACACAAACTAGTGTTTGCAACCACTAATTCAACAATTAACCATGAAATTAGCACAAATATCAAACACCAAAAATCAATCTAGCTCTAAAATACAAGACCCATCAATTACCCATTCTACGGTTGAGCCACAACCCTAGCTTATGGGTCTAGCTACTCATAATTGAAAAAGAAAAACAAGAAATAGATGAAGAACAACTCATATTAATTAAATTCTAAGCTAAATAACAAGATTCAATATTGAAAAGTAGATAAAATTGCCAAAATAGCTAAGAATATCGAACCCACGAGTGCAGCTGCTTAATTACAATATCTGATACCCTAAAAAATGGGAAAAGAAGCTATTTATACTAAGCCAAAAATTCTGGACAAAAATGCCCCTGCGGGGTTAGTGCGGAATACACAAAATGGTGTAAGGCCGCACTAGGGCTCTGAATTTGAAGATCTGACTCTCTAAACTCAGACACTACGGACCGTAGAGAATGGACCTCTACCGTGGAGGCTTCTAGTGCGGTCCGCACAAAATGGAATGCGGACCGCATTGACTTGAATCCTTGAAACTTGCACTTCTTTGATCTTGGGTTCTGCGGACCGTACTAAATTGAGTGCGGCCGCATTGCCTTCAGTGCGGACCTCACAAATCCTAGTGCAGCTGCATTGCCTTTGTTCCTTGAAAGTCATGCTCTCTGAACCTCACAGTGCGGACCACACAGAATATAGTGCGGCCGCACTGGCCTTGGTTTGCCTGAGCTTTGTTTTGTCTTGGTACTTGTGCAAGTTTCACTCCTTTTGAGCTGATCTTTGATATCTTGTCACTTTGTTGATCAAACCTACAATCAAGCACAACTTGTGAGCCTTTTGGGACTATTTTGTATGAATTTCTAATCAAAGCATAAGCAAGAAGGAGTATAAAATGCGTTAAAATTCCTAGTTATCAACTCCCCCAAACTTAAGCTTTTGCTTGTCCTCAAGCAAACAAAATAAGATCCATCCCTTAAGGGAAAATCCGAGAAGTTTTCAGCAGACCTAAAGTAACCTCATCTAGCATCAGTTGGGACTAACAATTGACCTCAATACAAATGAATCATTAACAACTTTTACTCTTTGAAACACCATGGATTAAATGTGACACAAGAGCATCAAAGTTGGCTCAACACATCAAAGGACTCTTTCTATTACTTTGGTCATTGTGGAGCCCAAACTCACACATCCTCAACTCTCCCTAAGCAAACCTCACCTTTAGAATAGTAGCACTCAAAATGAGGTTAATGAAAGTTTACTCATCTCTCTGAAGAAAAAGCCACAAGTCCGGCTCTAGGTACCATATGCTTGCCCCTTATGTGAGTATCCACTAATATAATCTTCATTCAACTCAAAATCATATAGGGCTTTTGTGAAGACATTGTGAAGGCTTTTGGTTTAGGGTAGGAAATGTTTTGGTCTAAGTAAGTTCCATCTTCCTTTAAGCACTTCTTTTGATTCATTTGGCACACATTCACTTGACTTTTTGAGTCATTTCACTTTTTTCTAAGGGGTTAGAGAGACACACTGTCACTCTTTCTTATGCATTTCAAACCTTTTCTCCCTTTTTCAACTTTCCACATCTTTCATTCTTTGCTTTTCTTGAATCCCTTTTTATTCTTTTACACATTGAACATTCTTTTTGTCTTTTTTTTTTGCTTTGCTTTCATTTTCATTGCCTTTCCTTTTCTTCATTTTTATGCCTTTTTACCACTTTGTTGCAATCCTTGTCTCTCCCCCCAAGCTTATACTTTTGCCAAGAGCTAAAGGAAAGATCGGGTGCCAAGAAAGGGTATCTTTTAGAACGGGTATAAGCTTGTATTTGAAGGAAGAAGGTCTAAGGCTCAAAATGGTTGACTAGGGATCTTATCATTGGTAAGTTATGGAAGTGTTCAAGCTATCATTTGGACCAAGGAGAGCCTATAATCATGTCTTAAGTCAAAATTCACTTAGGATTTCGCCTCAACAAACATTCAGCCAAGTTCTAGACCAATGGATCGGGACATGGACTTGCAATACGTTTACTCACC